GGGGGTCTTCATATCCCCCCAACATCCCTCACTCCCCACACACCCACACCCTGCCTGCACAACCCCCCACCACATCCTATGTCCCCCATAGCCACAACCCCTAACCCCTCAACCCCCACACACCACCACACCCACACCCCCTACAATTTACAAGACTAAGAATTTATTTTGTGTTTTATGCAATCGCCTCTATATACACTACGCAAACACAAATCATGACAATATTTTTTGTAATAAAATTAAAATGTTATAGTAGGTGTTTGACTTTTCGTTTTTTTTTCTGGTTCTAAGATTGCAACCTCCCCACCCAAAAGGAGTATTTTCAGGGGCAAGGGGAGGGACTTCTGGTGGCAAAGGTCAGGGGTTAGTGGCTGGGACTTCCAGTCCCAAGATGGCAACTATGAGGCAGGGCAACTGTCAAAGGGCAAGGCTACCCATGCAGCCCACAACAGCTCACCAAAACTTGTTTAGCGACCTTCCACCTAAAATAATTGCCTGCCCCTGAGCTAGACTTTTCTCAGTGGTGGCAGATGACAGAAAAAGAAGCAGGTCTCAAGTTGCTGCAAGGGAAATTTAGGGTAGATATTAGGAAGAACTCTCTCACTAGGAGGGTAGTAAAACACTGAAACAGGTTACCTAGAAAGGTTGTGGAATCTCCATCCTTGGAGGTTTTTAAGACCCAAATAAACAAAGCCTTGGCTGGGTTGTTCTAGTTGGGGATGGACTTGCTTTGAGCAGGGGGTTGGACTAGATGACCTCCTGAGGTTCCCCCTCACCCTAATTTTCTATGATTCTATCCCTGATGCATAGACTTATTTCAAAATGGCTAAATATCAAACAGCTCCCATTAAAGTATATGCAAACTTATACATGCTTAGCATGTCTTAAGAGTGGGAGGGAGAAGGGAAACGAATTTAGGATCTTTATTTGGGTGCTTATGAATTTAGGAAGCACATATTCATCAACCCAAATACAGGATGGAAGAATTTCTGACAACAGAAAGCTTTGATACCCTAAAGGTCAACCTGACCTGCACCGTATGTTTGTCAATTCCAGCATGGCTAAAAAGAAATGCAAGTCAGAGCCACATCTCAAATGATATTAAGTGACAGGACATAATCCCTCAAATCAGACTGAAGTAACATCAGTTTATAACAGCTTGACACAGGATTCATATTCTCAAAATGTTTGTCTATTTTAATTAATACATGATTTAATTAATAATTAGTTACTGTTGGTAAGGCAAGGTGCCTAAGAGCCCCATCCATGGGCCTGGACCTTGCCATGCTAGGTATTAGTACAAAGTAATTCTTAACATATTTCAGTCTAACACCATTTGTCTTCAGTTTTTATAAACACTATTATGCCCATGCATACCTTCCAACCATTTCCTAAATTAGGCAGGTCAGGTTCTTTGGGTAGACGTGATATCTTTTATTAGACCAACTGAGTACGTAGAAAAACAAAGTTCTTTGCAAGCATTTGGGTGCAATCACCCTTCATCAGGCATAGGGAGTCTCTGCTATTCATTTCCCAAATTAAACACTCTGAACAAGAGAAGCTACATATAGATTTCCAAAGCAAAGCCCAAAACACTTCACAGAACAACTGACTGCTAGATTCTTTGTATTCTGCCTACTTACAGATCAAGAAGCAAACGATTAAGTTCCATTATAAAACTTTTGTTACTGTCAAAAAAAAAATGAAGCTAGAGAAAGTCTACTAAACTAACCATACTATTATCAACACATCAAGTGGCATTTTCAAAGTTAGGTTACCCTACTCATTCTGCCAATAATTATGATTCACAGATTGGCGGCATGTATCTCCCTTTAGTGGTCTGACAAATAAGGAGACCATTAGTAGGGATCTCTGGAATTTGTGCTGGATTTGTGTGGTGGCTTCTTTAATCTTGGAGTTTCCCCCATGCACCCCTCTGCTGCTGGCTGGTGGAGGGGCCCTACCCTAGCCTCATGACAGGGAGGCAAAAACTGTTTTAAAGATGCTGAGGTTTTTGCCTCCTGGCCAGATGCAGGCAGCAAGTGACAGGGTCCCTCTGCCAATGAGTGGTGGGGGGTGGCGCACCGGGGAAACTCCAACATTAAATAAGCTATCGCGCCATGCATTTCCGGTGTGAATTCCAGAGATTCCTAGTCATTAGCAGAGACGGCTTTAAAAACATCCCAGACAATCCTCTTTTGTAGATCACCACTTCAAACACACACAGGCTGAGTACTTCAAAAGATAAAACTGAAGTTACCTTTCTTTAATTGACATTGTTTTGGTGGATGCATCAAGTACATCCTCAGCTGTTTCCATTCTGTTCTCTTCAGCAGAAAACATCTCGCAGGGGCTCTTATAGAATTTTCCCTCCAACTCTTCAGATGTCTCCTGCTGTTTACAGGATGCCAGAGTTGCAGTTTGTGAAACAGTCTTTGTTGCTGTTGTGCCAACAAGTTCAGAAGTAGGCTCAACATGGTCTGTTCATTTAAAAGAGAAGTGCAGAATTAGCATTTACTGCTGTAACATTTCTTACATTATTAACTGTGAACCAGTAAAGCTACTATTTAACATTCAAGTCAAGCTCTACCTTAATTGACAAGGAGTTTCTGCCTGAACTGGCTTCCTAAAATTAAGCATTAAGAAAAGAAAAGAAAAAAATTAACCCATTGAATAGACTGTCAAATGTTGACTGAGATTCACATGAAACGGCAGGATATCATCCTCAGCAGAAGTCTCAACACTGTGTTGACTAAAAGAGCTGTAATCTCTCCTTTGTACAAGGGGGAACAGAAGTCACGCTCCAGAGAACAAGGGCAGGAGAGAGAAAGGACACCTAGGAAGATGGTAGGAGATGGGTAACTGGAAGAGAAGGACAAAAGGCAGAGGGAAGGAGAAGGAGAGGCAGAGGCCGAGGGAAGTAGATAACTTGACGGCAATTGGATTCGGACAGAGCACACCTGTCAAAAGGAAACGTGTACAAGACTCTTTATGGAAACTAACACAGCAATGGAACAACTGAACAAAAAAAATCTCTTTACAGCTGTGTCTAAGAGCAGAGTAAACTTAATGCTGAAGAAGCCATCCCCCAAGGACCAGGGTCAGTAAACTATGGTCCATAGGCCAAATATAGCCCAAAAAGCCATTGGATTTGGCCTGTCGATGCAGGACTTCAGTGGTGGGGGCTTCTCTCATGCTGCAGTGGGGAGTAATGGCAGCAGCAACAGGGAGGAGCCTGCCTCCTTACCTGACCTGAGCTGGGTCATTCTGACCCATAGTCTCAAAAGGTTGCCGACCACTGCATTAGGAAGACCTGAATTACCTTAGTTTTCTTTTTTAAATTGGACAGCTTTGAGGCATTTTACAACAGAAACAATTGCTCCTACTCTAGTTCTGCCCTCTCCCCACAGAGGCACAAGAATTGTACGCCATCAGGTGACACAAAATACTTTAAATAGACTAGGTTAGCTTATTTATTCTAATGTTGAATCAAATAGCAACTTTGAAATAATGGGCACAAGCTGACTGAAGATCGCTTCAGGCTAGACATAAGGAAAAGTTTCTTTACAAGCCGAGTGCCAAGGGTTTGGGACAGGCTCCCCCTGTACATTGGCAACGTGTAAGGGGTGCATGCGAGTGCACATGCACCCCTTGAGATTGGCTGTGCCCCCCCTGGAAGCGCTAGCTGCGAACCTGGAACTGCTGGTGGAAGTGTACTTCCAGTTTCGCCACTGGTGGTTCCGGGGTCGGTGATCAGCCACTGGGGAACCCCCTCCCATGATCTGGTGCCCCCCCAGACTTAGGAGGCACCAGTCACCCATGCCCCCAGAAGTAGTAGTCATCTACCCTGGTGATCTTCAAAAAACGTCTAGATGCTCATCTTGCTGGGATCATTTTATCCCAGTAGTCTTTTTCTGCCTATATGCAGGGGGGCTGGACCTGATGATCTGTAAGGTCCCTTCCAGCCCCTTACAACTATGAAACTATGAAAATGCTTGGACTTACAAAGTGTGTGCGCACGTATGTGCATTACATGCAAACTATGTACAAATACTGATACAGTACCACTTTGGGTTCATTTAGCTATTTTTGTTGGGAAGAATTCTTACCTACAATTCATGAGTTTTCCTCCTTAAGAGGAAACAAAGAGTAAATTCAATTGTATTAAAATCAATGAGCTATAAAAAAAGTTAAAGGGTGGGAAACTATGTGCAGATGCTTTCAAAACTGCAAGCTCCAAGGTTCATTGAACACAACCTTTATGTCTTTTTATTTTTAACAATAAATGATTTTATATTTTAGTAAAGGATCAGAGCAAGCCACTAGAAAAAGCTCCAGATATTAGACAAGTCTGCAAAGAAAGAAACTCTGTACTGTACCTCTTTGCAAGGTCCTGCTTCTCATGACACTTTCCAATTCCTCCTCAAAGAATTGCTCATTCTGGAGTTCCAGTTTATCCTGAATGACAGTATTGGACAAAAGCTCCTCCTCTTCAGAAGGCTGAAAAAGTGCTTGTGATCTAAACAATTCTGTACTGCTCTTCCTTGGGAAAGCATAATTTGTCAATTTGTGGTAATCTTCTGTCTTCTCAAGAGCAGGGTGTACGGTTTCTTCCTCAAAAGAGCCATACTTTCTGATTTCATTATCTTCATGTGCTAGGAATCTGTCTCTCTCTCCTTCATCATGTTCCTTTGATGCTCTTTTGCTCTCTATCGCATCAACTGAAGGTTGCCACTGTTCTGATTTCAGCGCACCTTTTATTGAAGAATCTACAGTTTCGACTGAAGAATGGAATCTCAAATCAGCTTTACTAGTAGCACTTATGTTTTCATCAACTGCTGATTTTGCATGAAGATCTCCCGCATACACTGCAGAAATGGCAGAAGCCATAGTTGACACTGATGTTACAACAGCAGGTGGCAAAGGAGTGATTTTTCCACTTTCATTTTGCACCTATGCATAATGAAACAACATTTATGAAAAGCATGACCAGAGAGCTCTGAGAAGTCATTCACAGGAACAGGTTTATAAACAAGGTTATAACAGTTCATATCAGGGCAAAGAACACATGCCTGTTTAAACTTATGGTGCTATTGAAATGTATAGCTAAGGAACAGATAACACAAACAGTGTGCTTAGTTTGCTGCAGTATAAATCATAGTTCCTATTTAGGCAAGTAACAACTGCACGTGTGAATAGCAGCCTTTTAGGTCTGTTCTCTCCCCCACAAAGCAGCAAAAGACCGAGCATGTTTCTCCACCAAAAACAAATCATAAGGTACTTTGTAACATGGCCATTATTGTAAAACACTTGGAAATATCAAAGTTTGCCACCTGGTAGAACTCTGAGGTACCAATCGGGGCATTTTAACCTTTAGTTACATATGGAAGGGGTTAGTAACCTACGCCCCGTGGGCATAGGGCTTCAGTAGTAGGAGGCTTCAGCTGTGGACACTCTCCCTTTCCTGAGGGGGAAAGTACTGGCAGTGGCTGTGTCCTGGCACCCACCCACCTGCTTCTGACCCAAACTAGGCTAACCTGGCCCATAGCCTTAAAAAAAAGTTGCCAACTGCCAACATAAGGGTTGAAGAAAAATAACTCTCAAAAACTTGATTTGTTATGGGAATGGTTAAATTACCTATACTGGGCTTTCTGATCGGGTATATTCCCTCTAGCTTGTACTTTCTATTTAGTCTCTTAATAAGTAGATTTAACAAAAAGGATCTGGAGAAGTTAGGTTCCGGGGCAGGAAATAAAAATGATAAAGGGCTTGAAAGGCAAAGCATGTGAGGAGATACTGAAGGAAATAAGCATGTTCAGCTTTCAGAAAAGACACTTAAGAGTGGACGTGATAGCAATCTTCAAATACCTGGAGGGCTCCAATAAAGAAGAGGGAAAACACCTTTTGTTTCATGCTTCAGAGAGTGGAATACAGGTCAGTGGCATGAAGTTGCAGCAAAATAGGTTTGGAATGGATATCAGGAAAAGCTTCTTCACTGGTAGAACAGTGATGCCGTGGAACAGACTGCCTAAGGAAGTTGTGGATTCTCTATCATCAAAGGTGGTTAAAAAGAGGTTGGACAGGGATTGATTGGTCAAGGGTGATCCAGCCATAGCCATGCCTATGACCTACCATGATCTAAGCTGCTGGTGCTTTCCTTTTTGGCAGGACAGGGAGTGCCCACAGCTGACGCCCCAAGCTTCTGAGTTCTGCTGGTTACTGCAAGGGATTGTGAGGAATTTTTCCCCCCCTTCACGCTCAGTTTTCCTCAGGAACATTGGGTGTCAACTGCAGCCAAGGCTGTGGGTTTCGACCAGGGCGTGCCAATGGTCCTACTGGGACTTAAACCCAGAGGTTCCTGGCTAGAGGGTCTTGTCTCTCTGTTCAGAGTAAGACAAACTGAGGGTCTTGTCTCTCTGTTCAGAGTAAGACAACTTTCCATATTTGGGGTTAAGGAATTTTACCCCTTGGTCAGCAAGGTAAGGACTGTGAGGGTTTTCGCCTTTCTCTGCAGCTGGGGAGTATGGCCTTATTCCTTGTGCCTCTCAAGTGTATTTTAACAACCTTTGCAGCAGCATGACATTAGGTGCTATGGTCCCCCTGCTTTAACTGTGGCAGATTAGGATGTTATGTCTTGTGTCAGGGTTGACTGTGTGCTTTTGCTAATAGGTTAGAAAATGGATTTGTAGAGGATAGTTTGAATAGGGATGATTCTGCCTCAGACAGAAGGTTGGGTTCGATGACCCCTAGAGGTCCCTTCCGCCTTGCTTCTGATTCAGTAGCTAGTGAACATGGGAGTTAGGGGTACAGCCTCTGAACCAAAACTTTCTAGACGTTAAATGCTGGAGACCAAGTGGGAGAATAGGGGGGAAAAACACTGGTCAACTCTGTTCACTGTTCCTGTCAGCATCCACTCTGCCACTGCATGACATAGGATACTGGACAAGATGGATACTGGACAAGATGGTTCAGTTTTGGGGCCCCTAATACAGAAAGGATGTGGACAAATGAGAGAGAGTCCAGTGGAAGGCAACAAAAATGGGGAGGGGGCTGGGATATATGACTGAACAGGAACCTCTGGGTCTAAAGTCCCAAGTAGGAGCACTGGCATACCCCAGTCAAAATCCACAGCTTTCAACTGACACCCAATGCTTCTAAGGAAGACTTTAAAAATAGAAAGAAAGAAAAAAACCCTGACAATTGCAGGAGCATGAGGAAAAAAGTATTTCCTCCCAGTCGTATGCAGTGGAAGGGGGGTGCTAATGGGGCTTAACTCCACCAAACGCGGGGCAGTGGTAGGGCTTCAAGGCCACTCAGCTGTGGGCTTCTGGCAGCTGCAGCAGGGGTTGGGAGGAGCGGGTGCACAGCAGTGACGAAGACAGTAGGGCAAGGGCTACGGGAGGGGCAGGCGCTCAGGGAAAGACATGAGTGGCTTGTCCGGGTGGGGCAGCTCCTGCCGCTATTCACACCCCAGGAGGCATGGAGGGCACGTGCCCCCAGATCTGTGCGGAGCAGGGCTCTTCCCGGCAGGGGAGGGGGGAGCTAGACTACGCTCAGGGCTGCATTGGGAGAGGGGGGGCTGCAGCCACCCCAAGATTCGCTGCTTCCTGCCCTGAGCGTAGTCTGGCGC